TTCCTCCTAATTCTGAACTATATTCAGAGTTAAATGTTGTCTTCAGAGGGGATTGTACTAGTCCTCTGAAGTCTGAACGATTTCTCGAGTTCAGGATTGACCCTAGAAGTCCCCGGTGGCCTGGCGTAGTGGTTAAGATCGTTGCCTCACAACGGATAGGTTCCAGGTTCGATTCCTGGCCGGGTAGAATGGTGAGATCTAACCAGCTTTAAAAAGTCGTGATCAATCGCCACATAGGCTCATCCGACTCAAAGCGATGTAAAATAAGCATAAAAAAAACCCTAGAAGTCGTGCTTCATGACATATTCAAGGACATTCATCCACACAAAAGGTGTAATGTATTTGGAATCGTTTGGCCAATCGTGTCGACCCACAATACGAACCTTCCATCGTCTAAAATCATTTTAGCCTTTTGAGACAAATGCGAATATCTCAGAAACTCGACAAAGATCGACAAAGTGGGCGGACGGCTACAAATGGTAATTATATTATACTCTATTATTATTATAGAACTTCATTTAATTGAACTAAAATCCAAAAGCTCTGAATGAATGACAGAGTCTTGTTTGACAATGAACTGTAGAAACGGTGGAAAATCTCCGCCAACTTTGGGCTAAAGCTTCATAATCTGGATGTGGTCTTGATTCTCGACTCGTGAACACACATACCGACAGCAACTCAAAACTACGGAACTAACAATCAATAATGGTTAAAACTTCACCAACGGCTAAGAACAAAGTTCCTTAGACACACATGAAGTACAAGAAGTACACGTCAAGCGAATCTCCTCTCGTCAACCAAATAATTTTCCATCTCGCATCCACTCATCATTTCCAAAGGACAATTGTAGCGAGAATAATGGAGATATTACACAAGAATGAATGCATTCACTTGGTTAATAACAATTGATGACGAGAATAATTCCTTATTTCTCCGGGAAGAATATGAGACGTCTCCAACAAAGGAACAACATTTGTCTGGCCACTATTTATCATCCTGGCTGGACACAAGGTACAATCAGAAGAGCTTTCATTGTTTTCTTATTGCGATTTACCGCTGGGGCGAGATAGCACTTACTCCTGTTATTATCCTCGTCTGATTCTCTCCCATATCTTGAGATCATGTGGCCAGCGGAGATTGCGAAAAAAGAAGGCACTACTGGGAATGCCAAGAGATGTTGATAAGTTAGGTTGGATCAACCTAGTTTACATATAAAAGTATTAAGGCAGGTTTACATATCTTCTTTGAATTTAAAATCAATCGTGTCCTTTCAATTTTTATTTTTTTAATTTTACATTTCCTTTTCCTATTACCATAGTTCCTGGTTTGATAGACACCCGTTCGTCTTAGCCTTCAGCCTCTCCTAGGACCCTCTCATTATTTTTGTCATGTCAATTATATATTTTACTAAATTACCAATATCCTTTCTCATTATCTCAAGTTCTTCGGTTCGCCTTTCCCTGAAGATTCCGAGTCAAAAGAGGATCAACGGTTTGTAGTGATACGAATGGCATTTGAGATGAAGCAAGCTGACATTTAAGCTATAACAATTGCCTCAGATCGTTCAGATATCCTAGGATCCCTCTCCACTCCTTTCGGGAAATTAACGAAGGGAGAAAGGTTGGCTTGAGGAAGGAACAAATGAGATGGTCCTCTGTGGAAAGTTTAACTCCGAACTCAACAGCCACACGCGTTGAATGAATGCCAGAGGTATGAGTTGATCATTCCGTTGGCTTGAGGGCTTTTGAAACTCCACGATAATTGGATATCTGCAGCGCCACATCTGCCTCTGATTATGGCATGTCCATTTGTGCAGCTTTTCAGCTTTAAGCAGGAAGGAAATATCCCGGAGGAATTACAATGTCAGTGAATCTTTTTCACCTCTTTTTATTCAAAATTTTATCAACAATACGTTCAATACGTTATCGATTATCATAATATAAATGGAGAAGGGTAATAATTTTGTCCTGCCATCACATATTTACGTTAACGAACATTTGGGAGTGGTGCCAGACTCTGATATGTAGCTTCGAACAACATCACGGCTTTTGTTCTCTCGTTTTTCACTTTTCTTTGGACCGGCTCGCTGGGTGATGGTATTTTTGGATACCGAGACGCATACCGACGTTTCCAAATTTAACTTTATTCTTTTCTCTCGCAATCATTACTACTTGGAATGATGATGATGATGCCGGAAGGTGTGAGTCTCAAAGTGGCAGAGAGTTTTATTTCAATTGAATTGTTTATCACAAAGGAACAAATGAGAACTCGGTCACTGTTTAATCCAATAGCACCGGGAGGTGAGAGGATGGCTTCATGGGGCGTTTTCTGATCGATGGAAAATTACTCGAGATGGAATCCAAGTGCGTGAAAGAGGGAATAATTTTGTGGAAAATCGCAGTGATCTCTGGTGAAGGGTGGCTAGAGGAAATGTAGAGAAAAGAGGGTGAAAATGTATCTCATACACTTGCACACATTCAACTCGATGAACTCTTGATTGCGATTGTAAAATCCGATAGCAGCGAAGGGTATTCGGTAGTTTGCAGTCGATCAATAGGCGAGTGCAGGATGGGAAACATTTTTTTTTTACTGCGTATTTGAAATTTTTTTTGGTTCACTTCTTCTCTCTCGAGCAATTCTGGAATTTTTTTTGTAGGCCTTCCCTCGGGATTATTGGATCTATTCCGTGTACTCAATCTCCTCTTCAACCTCCATCGATCTTGATGACTTGGTTGACGACATGGTGATGGATTTTTTAGAAGTCGCTGATTCAATTATCTCCTCTGATTCCACACTCTCCACTGATTTAGATGATTTTGCCGAGAGTTTTGCTGATGTTATGTTTGCGTTCTGCGATATTTGCTCCAGGAAATTGGCAGCGGCATCATTAGCTGGAAGTTAAAGATTCATTTAGATGAGTTTCAATTTTATTTGGTCTCAATGGAGTGATTGGTTTATGGAGGCGGATGTTGGCGTGGGGCATGTTGAACTTTGTGGAAGTCTGAATGAGCTCGTGGAAATCCTTCATGGAGTGGAGGATTTCCACAACTATTTTTTTTTCAATTCGACTCTTTCATTGGATCCTATAATCGAAGTCGCTCGGTAGAAATTATTACCTCTGCGAGTATTAATTCCTCTTTTTCTACGGCCGCCTTTGAGTTTTAGTTCGGCTTCGGCTGTCTGGCAAATGCTCAGCTCTGAACTTGACATTTTATTAACGATAGATAAAACCCATTCGCTTTGAGATTTTCAATTAATGTTTAATTATATGTCACCGATGGAATAGAGGAGTAACAGAATTGACAATTAGTAAAAAATAAATTTTATCGATTAAGGTGGTTGTCGCGCGACAGTCTCTGTAAAAAGTTTATCCGCTGTAAAACGGGCCAGTTTAGAACACAATCTTTTAGCGGTATATAGTCTCACTTGATTGATTGCATTGTGC